AGCGGCGTCTGGAAGGCCTCCGCAGCCCTACTGGATGGCCTTATGGGGATGGCATCCCTGCGTCACAGTTTCAGCACCTCCTCTGGGCCTTGCTCCCTATTTGAGCTGAAGCCTGGCCTGTGGAGCCGGCAGCCCTGGGATAATGCAGGATAGCAATGCATAGTTGTAAGATGACTGTTCTATTGAGCACATCCCTGCTTGGCTGGGGCTCTAGGGCAGGACCTGACTCTTGCAGAGACAGGCAGGGACTCTTTGAGCAGGGGAGAATCTTAGCCTCACTCCAGGGCATGATAAACCACTCCATCAGGAAGCCTTCCCAGAGGAGCCTGCTCAGGTTCCTGTCCATCTTTCCTCCTTTCTCCTAAATGCACGTCTACATCTATGCTTACTGGGTCAGGACCCTCTCCCTGATGGCTCTAGAAACTCTGGCCTCCTTACCCTGGACCATCCCTTTGAGCAGGCCTATGCTGAGGTCGTAGGAGGGAGGCCCTGCCCAGAGGCCAAGTTCTGGGAATGGGATGGCCTAGGTCAGGGTTTGAGGGCCCTTGAGTAATTTGTGGCTGTGTGAAAAGAATTTCTAAGGGCCCCACACCTTGAGATCCCACAGATTGAGAAGCCGAAAGTAGATTTGGGATGGGTGAGGGTCAAGAGAGGGGGAACTAACATCGAGGATGGAGAAATTAAAAAGGTCTGTTAAGCCTCTTCCACGTGTCAGGCAGGCTATGGAGGAGACTGGGGAAGGGTGTCTGGGATACCTTCCCAGTAGGATCAGTGAGCAAAGTCTTGAAGGAAGAGGAAGAGTTGACCAGGAGAGGAAGGGCTCTTCAGGCTAAGAGAGGAATAAGATAGTAGAAACTGTGTGGGATGGTGATGATGAGGACAGCCAGTATCACTGGAGTGTCAGAGGTGCTAGGGAGCTCAGAGGAGCAGTGACTACTTCAGGGGCCCTGGGAGGCCACAATCGAGGCATTACCTTGCATGAAGTCCTTCAATGGCTCTCTGTGGTTTATGGGACAAAGTCTAGAAGATTTCTTGGAACATCAAACAAGATCTTCTGCATCTATTGCCCTTCTTCTCTGTGTCTCATCTCTTCTATACCCTCCTTCTCTCCACATCCCCTACCACTTTCCGACCCCACCAAACTGGCCCGTTTCTCTGAACCTGCTGACTGATGCCATGTGTTTGTGTTGGACAGCTCAGATATGGAACATTTCCATCATCGCATGCAATTCTAATGGATAGTGCTCATCTGCAAGGAAGGTATCTGCCATGGGCCAGGAGGCTTCAGATTCCTGGAGGCTGTGAAGTGGTTTAAGATAGACTAGGGAGGCAGCATGGGGCCATGGCAGAGCTCTGGACCTGAAGATAGGAGAATTGATTTCTAGTCTGGGCTCTTCCACTCAACAGCTCTGTATTTTGGGACCAAATGCTTGGACTATCTGGGCCTCAGTGGATTGTAAAATTAGGCTGTATAAGCCACCTGAATGATTGCTTTTTTTTTTTTAATTAAAAAATTTTCCCCAGTTTAGTTTATCAAATGTTCCTCAAACTGTTGTTGATCCCTTCACTATGCTAGGTACTAGATAAGCCAACATCCTCTATCAAGCAGCGTGCTGGGGAGGTCAGGCAGGTGTGGGTATTCTATAATGAGGGCAGGCCTCTGGGGCCAGGCAGAGGCAAGCACAGGCTAATTACACTTTCCTGCCTTCATAGCACTTAGCCCAATTTGTAATTATTTGTTGTTGGTTGTTTACTTGTGCCTGCCTCCCCTGTGGAGCACAGGGACTATGTGGTGCTTTTGTCATCTCAGTGTCCCAATGCCTGGCAAAGTCCCTAGCATATAGTAGGTGTTCAATGACCATTTCTTTCTGGAATGAGTAAAAGGCCACCCTTCTGCCCAGGGCACTTGTTATACCTTGTTGGGACACAGGATACAGCATCAAGAGCTTCAGATGGTGGACAGACCCAAGGTGGGTTGGAGAAAAGTCAAGATGGGGAGACTCTACCTTTGGAGGCCAGCTCTGGAGGCCAGCTCTGGAGGCCAGCTCTGGAGGCCTTGCACAATGGGACCTGGCTGCCTCCTTGCCAGGCTGGGCTGGGCTGACTGGAATGGGCCTGTGGTTGACACTGAGTCCTCTGCCCAGGGTGTCACACATACCATCACTGGATGCCTGGCATCCTGCTCCTTCGGTTCCCACTCAGTGTGGGTGAGAACTCTGATGACTTCCTGCCACGGCCCAATGCCTTAGGTGGGTAAGAAGATTGATGGTCCTCCCTGCAAAAGAAAGAGGCAGAAGGAAGCTTCCCTAAGTTGCCAAAGCCCCATTAGGCCTAGGGTTTAGTCAGGCACGTATTTGGAGTAGGGCAGGGACCAAGCCATAACCCCCCAGGTACCTTTCCTTCAGTGTACAATCTGGATAGAGCAGGTGGGCGTTGGTTTCCCTGGCCCAGGTTTAGGATAGGCCCAGCCTACCTGGGGATCCCCAGCTCGTGCCTGGCTGTGTGTTTCGTGCATGCCAGTGGCGTTTCGGCACGTTTGCCAGGCCTGCTTCTGGGTGGAGAGGAGGAGGAAGAATTGCACAAAGGGAAACTGGCGGGAGGGCCCTGCTTCCTCTGTTGGCTCACTGCCTCCCAGGCAGGACCAGGACCAGCATGTGCCCCTCGGTTCCCTGGGAAATGCCGTGCTATCTCATCTGCTTCCTCCCCCAAGAGGAAATGCCAGGTCCCAGCAATAGGGGTCTTGGTGGCCTCTGGCTACTTTCTGTTCCATCTACTGTGCCTGGTCACTCAATCAATGAGGACGGTCCCTTCCAATCACTCTCATTTCTCAGCCCCGAGACAGACAAACGCTCAGCGTTTCTCCTTTCTCCCACACACATCACCCTCCTGTTTGCCTCTGAGCCTTCATGTGGGCCACTAAGCTGATTTGGCCTGCCTCTCCCTTCATCAGATCTTCCGAAATAGCCCCCCTCACTTGTCCTTTGGAGGGGAGAGCTTGTAAAAGGAGGCTTCATGATGGCAGGGACTTTGTTTTGCTCACTGCTCTATTGCCACTGGCACATAGTAGGTACGCAAAAAATAGTCGTTGAATTAATGCACAGTGTGCACTCTATTTTTAGCACTTGTTTCTGTGGCTCTCTTAGGCAGGGTCTCTTCCCTCCCCCACTCTCTCCCACCCTCCCCCACTAGACAGGGTCTGGGGATACTGTTTCACCTCCTCTGAGTCCCCCCAGGCCTGGAATCCTGGTTACTGGAAAAATCAGCCAATCTTGCCTACCCTGTCCTGTGTGCCTTCATTCAGGAAATGCCTTCTGTATCTCTCCTGGGTGCCTGATCCTGGGTGCTGAGTAATGGGGCAAATACAAAGATAAATGAGGCAGAGTGGTGACTGGGTATTTTCCTCACATTCCGGGTCCCCTCTGTCTCCCAGTCCAATGCTTTTGAACTCTAGGATCTCTTGCCATTCAGTCTCTGCCTCCAGGCCAGCTACCCCTTGTTCTAGCCTCCTCATCTTTCCAGTCCTGGCACTGTACACAGCTATTTAGGAGGTGTCCCCTCCCTGGGGCTGCTTTCAGAGAAGAACAAGGAGGGACTAGAAAGCTGGGGTGGCTGACAAAGGCAGGACCAGGGAGTGGTAGGGCATCTGGAGATTCTTATTTGTAAGCCCAAACCGCTCCCTGAGCTTCAGCCACTGCCTTTATCTGCCTTGATAATAAACCGAAACCATATTCTGCTCCCTGTTGAGCGATCAGTGCCCAGCCTCTGTGAGCCTGCCAGGATGGCAGCGGCCCAGGATGATGCTGGGCACTGTGCCAGCTGACAGGTCAGCCCTGAAGCTGCAACCAGGAGGGTAGCCACCAGCCTGCAGAACACCCCACATGCTGGGATGTCCCTCATCCAGGGGTCTGCAGTGCCCATACAGGGCACACAGGAGGCTCTCAGGATGGATCTTGAGAACTGAAGCTTGAGCTATGGCAGCTTATGGTTCGTTCATCTTTATAACCCTAACACCGGGCATAATGCCCAGCATACAGAAGGAGCTCAGTAGTGGAACTTTGTGCACTTAGCACTCATTTATCAGGACCTACCATGTGTAGGTAGCTGCATCCTTTCCCTCCCCATCCTTCCATCTCCTTCCGCCAGCACCTTTGGAGATCTCCTGATGTAGCGAGATGTGGGGTGTCTCCAAGGTGGTCATCTGTGAAAGGCCAGTCTGAAGCCAGGCCTGCATAATGTGTCTTAGGGAGAAAAGGAGGAAGAAGTCCTTCCATGTGTCCCCATAACCCAAATTAATACTCAGGCGTACAAAAAGTGCTCACACAGGTGGCCTGATTTCATCTCACCAATGCTGCTCAACAGGCTGGGCACCCTGCACTTCCATTTTGCAGATGTTTGGGGTTTACACCCAGATCTTCTTCCTCCAGACGGAGCCCCCAGCCCAGGCTTCCTCGTGTTGGTTAGAGTGTTAGCCCATAGTTAAGCTCTGAGGTTCTGGGAGAAGCTGGGAGGAGCTAGGGCCTGGGAGATGGGAGAATAGCTAGGGTGGAGATGGCGTGAGGAACAGAGGGAGCAGGGCACAGGGCTGGGCCAATGGGGCAGCAGGCAGGCTCAGGACAGGGCCCCCAGCCTAGGCTCTGGATGGAACAGGACTGGCCAGTGGGAATCTGACGACCTCAGCTCCTCTCTGAGGTGCCATTGTTGCCTCCTGAGTGAGCAAACAGCGCTGGTGAGATTGGGGACTAATGGGTGTTTTCCAGAGGGTGAATCCTCTACACAGGGTTTATCTTCCGGGGTCATCGTTCTGCAGTCTGCACTTAGCAGGATAATAGCAGCCTGGTCTGGGGCTCCTGGCTGCCTATTGCCCCCGGGCCCTGCAAACAGATGGAAGCAGATGAGGGAGCGGAAGACAGGAATAAGCAGAGGTATCATGTCCCGGCCCTACCCTGCTTCCTTATCCCACTGCAGCTGTGTGTGCCCATAGCTGTGTGGCCATCTCCCCTCATGCCAGGGCCTCATGGCAGCCCAGACCCAGGGACCCTCACAGACACCCATACCCCCCACCCCGTCCTTATTCCAGCTGTCAATCCCTGCCGAAGCCCACAGGTATCCCCTCTGCAGTCCCTCATCCACCTTCCTCCTGACGCATGGGGCTCCTCTGCTATCCTCGGGAAGCAGAAGAGGGAGAGGGCAGTACTGTTGATCCAGGACATCCCCTGTATCCCACAGTGTGGCACAATGTTCCGTGTTCACACGGCTTTCTAAATGCCCATGACCATCTGGGGTGGTAGGAGTCATTTCTAGATTACTGCTGAAGATGCTGAAACTCGGGGAGATTAAATGACTTGTCCAAGGTCACATTATGTGGTAGGCGGAATAATGGATCCCCCAAAATATCCACTTCCTGATCCCCAGAACCTGTGAATATGCTACCGTACATGGCAAAGGGGACTTTGCCAACGTGATTAAGTTAAGGATCTCGTGATGGCAAGATTATCCTGAATTATCTGGGTGGGCTCATTGCAATCACAAGGGTCCTTTAAATGTGCACGAGGGAAGCAGAGAGTGATGTGATGTGAGAAAGTCTTGACTGGCCTTTGCTGGCTTCGAAGATGGAAGGGGCGCCAAGGAAGGTAGGTGGACCAGGTGGGGAAATTATTATCTTCTAGTACCTTCAGAAGAAGTGCAGCCCTGTTGGCACCTTAATTTTAGCCCATTGAGACCCATTTTGGACTTTTGACCTCCAAACTGTAAGATAATGAAATTGTGCTGTTTAAAACCAATAAATTCATGGTGATTTGTTACAGCAGCAGCAGGAAACTAATATACCTAGCCAGTGGCAAAGCTAGCGTCTGAACTTGGGACTCAGCCTCCAGTCTGCTCCCTTCCACCTTACTTGTCTGATGACTAAGCTCTGCCCATCACTCTAGGCTGCCTCTCTTCCTGCCCCCTGCCCACATTTTCTGAACTGAAAATCGGGCCCCACAGCTTGATGCATGAAAGCCTATTGTTGAGGAAGTTGAGAGAGAAGATTCAAAATTGGAACAGAGGCTCGGTTTCAAGTGCTCTCCTCCTCGGATCCCAGCCTATCCTTTCTGTCTCTCCACTACTGGGGGAGGGGTGGGGTGTCAGGAGTTCTTAGAAACATGCCTAACAGCAGCCCATTTCTTTAGAGGTTCAAATGAGGCAGGACATGTGCTAGCCATTAGGGCTCAGGGCTTAGAGGAGGTTACAGTCTTAAACTGACACGGTCTCTACCCAGAGGGCACACGCAGCCTGCCTGCTCCTGCACTTTGCCAGGTGGTTTCTCCTTCCTGGGGGCTGATCTTCTGAACTGGAGTGGGTGAAGTGGGAGGGGCGCATCTGAGAGCCTCTTTGGTATGGGGCCCCAGCGGTCTGTGTATCTCTCTCAGGGCAGGGGAGATATCTGTGTGTCAGGGTACCTGGTTATGGGAAGATCTAGGGATCCCACCTCTCTGGTGTGTGTGTAGGGGCATATCTCAGATCCTGGGGGCCTCTCTGGGCAGTGTGTTCAGCTTCTGTGTGTGAGTATGTGAACATGTGAGTGTACAAGGGTGTCTACTCATATCTCTGTGTGAGTGTGTATGTGAGCGTGCCTACTCATATTCCTGTGTAAGTGTACATGTGAGCGTGCCTACACATGGCCCTGGAGTATCTGCATGTATTAGTATGTCTACTCACTCTGAGTGTGTAAATGAGTGTATAAGTTTGTGGCCATATCTCTTATGCCCCTGTGTGTGTGAATTCCTGAGTATGTCTAGTCACACCTGTGTGAGTGTGTCAACACACATATGAGTGCCTACTATTCTGTGTAAATGTCTGAGAGTGCAAGCATGTCTTTTGTATGTGTGAACATGAGAGTGTGAGCATCTCTACTCACACCCCGGTGTGTGAAAATGTAAATGTGCCTACTCCTACCCTGTATATGGATGTGTGAACATGGAGTGTGTGAACATGTCTGCTCATATCCTTATGTGTGAACAAGTGAGCATGTACATGTGCAATCATGCCCACTCATGTCCCATCTGTTTGTGTACAAGTGTGTGTCTCTTCATACCCACGTGAGTGGTTGAGTGTATTTACTCACACTTGTATGTGAGTGTGTGAACGTGTGAGTGCGAGAGTGTCTACTTTCTCCTCTGTGTGTGTGAATATGCGAGTGTGTAGGCGTGTGCTCTTCTAGCCCCGCGGAGGTGAGCGGAAGCTCCCTGCACCTTGCCAGCATTGCCTCACTCCTGTGACACAGCCACTAATGACTATTTGCCATTGTCTGTGTGATGGTGGCATCACCTGCACTAATGATAGTCTCCCCTGCCTAATGATCTGGCTCCTGCCCCATCATTTAGGAGCCACAGGAGCACTCTGGGACTGTGGCCAGAAAGATGTTGACGAGCTCAACACATTTCCCACTGGGATGCCAGTGGAGGTGGGGAGAAGCATAAATCCCACCCTCCCTTAAGCCCTCTGGGTGTCCTGTGTGGGCTGGGAATTTTGGCCAGGTGAAGGC